AAAAAAAAAAAAAAGAAAAAAGCTCCTGCAGCTAGCTCAGTGTGTGTCCAAACAGCTGCCCAGTTTTTTCTTTGAAACCCAGGGCCCTGGTGGTGTAGGTATCTGAGGGAATCTCCTGGTCTGCGGGTGCAAAGACTGAGAAAAACATAGTGTCTGGGCTGGAATGCACCATCCCTCATGGCATTGAAGGTTTTTTGTGTCTCTATCTCCTCACAGCTTCCCTTGGCGAGGGAAGGGAGTTCCCCTATTCTTTGTGCTTCCCAGGTGAGGTGACACCTTACCCTGCTTCCGCTCACCCTCCATGGGCTGCACCCAACGTCTAACCAGTCCCAGTGAGAAGCGCTGGATATCTTAGTTGGAAATCCAGAAATCGCTCAACTTCTGTGTTGACCTCACTGGGAGCTGCAAACCAGGGCTCTTCCTGTTTGACATCTTGTCAGCCACCCCACCATGGTAAACATTTTAAACGCGTGATTTCATTTAATTCACAAAACAACCAGAAGAGAGGTAGGTAATTCCTCATTTCATTGAGCAAGATACTGAAGCTATAGAGAATATCTAACTTGCTCAAGGTGACACAGCTATAGGTAGTAGATCTGGGACTCCAAATATTTGCTTCTAACACGACACCATTCTCTAATCCAAACAACAAATGTCTTTGCTCTTACTGGATTCACTGGGAACTGGGTTCACTTTAATCTCTTTATATCCTAGTTTACTTTGGACATCACCGCCACATCTAAATTGTTGTCTACAGGACACATCTTCAAGTTTCCCCACCTTTCCTTCCTTTCGTTGGCCTTTTGCCTAAACCACTAAAGGAAATTAAACAAAGCCATGTAGGGCAAAACAAAAGCAGGTTTCATTCATTCCGTTAAAACACAGGCCTTTCAATGTAATGGGTGCCTCTGCAGATTTTAGGCCAAAAATTGCAAGCCCCTGTGATCTTTTCTAAAATCTGTTTCTGTTTAATTTTGACTGTGCTCATTGTCTTGGTAGGAACTGATTTCCACCGGCTCTCCTTGCCCTGATATCAGGGGGCCTGTCTGAGGCCCAGGGCATTCCTGCAACCCTTTGGGTACATCCAGTTCTGACTCATAAAACACAATGAGGAATTTACAGCTCTGCTTTCTGCAATAGGCATAAAATTAGCCACCTAACTCCACATCGTTGTTTTTCCTAATTACTTCATTATTAAACTACTCATGTCACAGCAGGAGGGGATGTTGATGTTATTTTACTTCAGACTTTAGTGTGAGGGTGTGTTGGGTGTCTACCCTCTGTCCCTGTCCCCTGCACCAGGCCCTGAAAGACGGTTCCCTTGGACCACCTCAACAGACACCTCGCCCTCTGGTTGAATTTTGTCAATAGGCAGGAGGAGGGTTGAGACTAGAGTATCCATTTCCCTAGCTTCCTCTCTGCTGGGTTACTGTGGGTGCCTGTGTCTTTCTAGGAAGCCACGGCTCCTATCATGTGCAGCTCCCTCTCCAATTCCCATAACTTTTCTCTTTAAGCCTACAGGTGATAGCTCCCTGCTGGGCTAGCCGTGGGGTATTCCACTGTCTCTCGTGTATTTTCCTCCACCCTGCTTCCATCTTTGTAAATAATCCCTTTATTAAATACCCTAAATTTAATACCTATTTTGCATATACCGTCTCCTGTCTCCTACACTCTGACTAATACAGATGAGATGAGCATTCGTGTGACCTGAGATTTTCCTTGCAGGCACGGCAGTGAAGATGATTGCCTGCTTAATCAAGTGACATTGTTAAAGATTAAATCCTACCTGTGCTCTGCATTGCCTGTGGTTTCATCACAACCAGTTTCCTCCTCATTTAGGAAGAAAACACTTGCAAATAAGTGCATCAGGCGGTTACGCAGAAGAAGCGATGCACAACTGGCTTCAGAATGAGGTTAATCTGGAGGTCAGATTGCCCACAAAAACCATCTGAGCCCACACTTGGTATAACCCTGTTAAAAAAACAAAGTGGAACAAACAAAAATGTAACCATGACACTGAAGAAGTAAATAAATATGATGATTCTATGAAGTTTCTTGGAGGAAATAAGCACATTTTTCTGGAGAGCATTCAGTCTCTGGTTTTTCAAATTGTTTTCTTGATCTCTTGCATAGACATACCCTACAGATAGGGGAACGTCCTAGTACTTATCTGTTCAAGTGTGAGATTAAACTATTTTAAAAAGATAAATTGAGCAGGAAGCCAATAAAACTGCTTACTTGCCTTCAAGAAGCAAAGCCAGTGCTGCTTTGGGCAGAACCTGGACCCACAGTGGGGTTTGCTCTGCTCAGCATACAGGCCAACCAAGCTTCTACTCTTTCTTGTGACCCAAAAGGATGAGTCATAGAAAAAAAAATAAAGCAACAGTTTGGATTTTGTTTTCTTTTTTTTTTTTAACATGAAGAAGAAAAATAAGGAGATGATACAATGTTCTAAAGTAGAAAGCATTGGCTAAGCATAAGGCAATCTGAGCTCCCAACCATCTCCTTTTTGGTTTTTTTGTTTGTTTATTTCATCAAGACAAGGTCTCAGTTGCCTAGGCTAGAGTGCAATGTTGTGATCATAGCTCACTGCAGTCTCAAACTTCCTACTTCACCCTCTCAAGTAGCTAGAACTACTAGCTTGGCTAAGTGTTTTAAAAAAGTTTTTTTGTAGAGATAGGGTTTCACTATGTTGCCCAGGCTGGTCTCAAACTCCTGGGCTCAAGCAGTCCTCCTGCCTTTGGCTCTCAAAGGACTGGGATTTACAGGTATGAGCCACCACGACCAGCCCTGTAACCATCACGTATTTGAGTTTTTGAAAACCACTTAGCATCTCTGTGTCTTTGTTTTCTCTTCTGTAAAATGAGATGACTGAACTGCTTGACCATGTGTTGGTGTAAATTAGATCATGAGAACGGAACACTGAGCATTGTATACCATGCTGGTCCACAGAGTGCAGCGACTGAGGGGCTGGACTGGGAGCCAGGCTGCCTGACTTCTGCTCCTCGGCTCAGGCTTTGAGAAGTCTGCCCTTGGCAAATCCTCCAACTACTTTGTATATCAGTCTTCTAATCTGAAAATTGGGATAATGCAGCACCTTCCTCACAAAGTTGTTGTGTTAAATGAACCAATATGTGTAAAAATGTTTAGAAAAATGCCTGACATGTGGAAAGTGCTAAGAAGTTACTAGTATTACTAATGCCAAGCAGGGAAGGGGTCTGTGGGTGGGAACCCTCCTTGTTACTTCCACCAAGTATTATTGTTTCCCTCTAGGGTATGAGAACTGTGGAAACCCAGCTTTACACTGTAGAGTTACTCTAATATAGCATATCACGGAGCTGCTTGCAGACTCCATTTAACAACAGCTTTGTCACAGGGCAGTTTTGCAAGAGTGACACTGAACTCTATTGTTTTCATTCTCGTTATCTGAAATGAACAGTTTGCAATATGTGATAATACCACCGGCATCTGTTTCTGAATGTTTCCACTCACAAGACCCAAAACACTTCCACAAAGAAAAGACTTTCTTTCTGTTGTTCTGGAGTCTTTCTAAAACAGCTTCTACTGGGAGATTAATTATAGAAGCCAGAGAATTTCCTGAAAATGGTAAAACATTTTAAAGTAATACTAAGACACTGCATGATAAATGGCTTGACTCTGTATTGCCTAACAATCCAAAAGAAAAATGCATGTGTGAAACAGAACAGGATGTAATGGAAATCTAAGTAGATGGACTGGAAAATGGATTTTATTAACTATTTACAGCGGCTGTGCAAGTTGTTTTTGTCTGTGCTTGAGAAAGTTCCGTCATTGTTTCTAGGCCTTTCTTGTTGCTTATTTTTCAGATTTGCAGCATAAACGTGAGTGGTTCCAAATGTCAGTGGTTGTCAGCTAGATCTCCAGGTAAGCCTCCCAGGTACTGCCAACCTTGCTTACAGCCAGACTGTGGCCTTCAGAGAAAACATCCTCCATTAAAGAAAGGGAAGAACTGAGAAAAAAAAAAGTACCTTTGCATCCTAGTGTATGCCTCATGCCACCATTGTTCTCAGTATTTTATCTTTATTGTAACAACAGAGCCAGGGTAATCAGCTGAGCAGTGAGCTAGTCCTTTAAGACATAACATATAATATGTCCCATTTGTGCATTTATTTTTTGAGGCAGAATTGCACTCTTTTTTGCCCAGGCTGGTGTGCAATGGTGCTATCTCGGCTCACCGCAACCTCTGCCTCCTGAGATCAAGAGATTCTCCTGCCTCAGCCTCCCGAGTAGCTGGGATTGCAGGCATATGCCACCATGCCCAGCTAATTTTGTATTTTTAATAGAGACAGGGTTTCTCCATGTTGGTCAGGCTGGTCTGAAACTCTCTACCTCAGGTGATCCAACCACCTGAACCTCCCAAAGTGCTGGGATTACAGGCATGAGCCACCGCACCCGGCCCATCATTTGTGCATTTTTAGAAGTCCATTCCAGAGAAAAATATTCCTTATATTTGGAAAGAGTTTCAATTTACTTTTTTATAAGGTGATTTGATCTTGCCTCAAAATATTCAATTATTTTTTCATTCCTAGTGGAATTTACCAAATAGTTTAAGAATGAGCAAGAGCCCTGGCTTCTCTGCTGTTGTTCTAGCTTCTGATCTATTCAGGGGACAGGAGGAGAGCCCTCGGGGTAACATTGTGGAGCCAGGGCTAGATGACTATATCAGTATACTAGATACCTACAAAATGAGGACACCTCGAAAAATATCACTTTGAAAAAAAGAATTTAAACATTGATATGTCAAAAGAAGCACTAAGACTGTCATCACAGTAGGAAAAATATAAGAGCATCGCTCTGCTTCTTTACTCTTAATTATGTCTTAGTACTGTTTTTATTTTTAATTCTATATGGAGGTGGCAGCACCGTAATCTTTTTAGTGCTTAGATCCTCTAAAATCTTAAGCCAATGCTGATATGACTCTTACATGTTCATGAAGTGGCCCACATGTGCCAGACACTTCTACATTCTGAGCTTCATGAGTACAGGGATCCTATGCTCTACCGCCCTTCCAGCCTCAGTACCCACAACAATATGGAGCACTCAGCAAGTACACAGTAGAGACTCCTATTAAGTCTGTATAACAGAAAGTCACTATTTCTGTTAGTAAAAATTCCAATGAATGTTGCTATTAAGGCAGCTCAGTTTAACTGATGAAGCCACTAAATGCCCAAGGTGCGATAGCTCTTGCCCTTTATCCAGTGGGGGACAAAAATGAATGTGTTTGAAACAATTAGTGCAGACCAAGAATGGTGTTGGGTGCTTTACATACGTCAATTCTCTCTTTAATCCTCTTTTCAAACCCTGAAGTCTGCATCACCAGCTCCATTTTACACAGAAAGAATCTGAAGCTTAGATAGGCTAAGCGATCTGACGAAAGTCATTCAACAGTAAATGAAATAGTGGAGCATCAGACCAAGGTCAGCCTGACCCCTAAACTACTGCTCTTTTTATTACACATGTTGCCAGACCACTTAAAGTTAGATAGACTGATCACTCGTGTCCAAAATCTAAGACAGATGTGTGTCAAAAATAGCCCAGCAAGTTACTATTAAGTCATGCTCAGCATTAAAAAAACAATAAAAATTAAGGAAACTGTAGTCAAGATTGCAGAAGAGAGTGAAGTAGGGGAAATTTTCTGACAGTTTTAGGTCACTAGGTAGCAATTCCTGGGTCTGTAAGTTTTAGAAAACTCCTGGCCCTTAGGACCCTAAGCCCTTAATTCACATTTTGAGAAGGCCTGTATTTGGAATAGAGCTAAGGGCATGAGCCTTGGGGTAGTTTCACAGGGCTTGGATTTTGCCCGACATTTTCTGAGCTGCGAAGATGGGGTGGGGTGAGGAGGTAGTGAGCCCCTAGGAAATGGTGCAACAATGCTGACAGAGGAAAGAGAAAAGAGGGGAAACATTCCTCAATTCTCTTTTCTTATACCTCACACACTGGCTCAGTTCTAGACCATTTTCAGAAAATCCTGGAATTTTCACAATAAATCAAACTGTAGCAATACCCAGAGCACCTGGAGACCAAAGTCTACGGGTTGTAGGTGAGGAAGGAAGCTGGGAAGTGAAGTAATCTCTCTTTTCTACCTGTTAGATGTCTGTATTTCTAGGCGACATTAAACTAACCAACTCTTCTTCCTCATAACAGAAAGAAAAGAGTTTCACTAGATGGGGAGAAGGTATTGGCTGCATACATGAAGAGCTGTCTTAAATGGAAGGCAGAGGCATAGATCCTGTGAAGTCTTTTGAAACAGGAGCCATAATTACCTGTCCCATCCATATGGGGTAGAGTTAAAGTGCAGGGAGGTAAACAGAGAGCCTTTCAAAGTTCTTCTAGCCAGAAATTTCTATAATTGTATGGTTCCTTTGGTTAATTCTCCATTCCATCTTATTCTTTTTCAGTCTACCTTTTCATTGGCTCCATTTGTAACAGAAAAGCGAAAGTTATTCCCCAGCTGTAGAAGGCCGAGTCCAGGTCGTACAGGATAATGAAATGGGAGCGCTCACAGACCCTAACATTAGACGATGAAACAGAAACTCACAGACCTCTGGACATGCCATGAAATGGGAAAATGTGTATTTTAGTTCCTCCACAGCACATGGGATTTTGAAGATCCAGGAGAGATAGGAGAATGGGTCATCATAGGTAATACTCATTATCTGATTTAACTGTCTAGCTTGCTCTTTGTTTTCTCTGGTATCTGAATACAAACTGAATGGTAAAAGAGAACACCAAAGCTAACAATGTGAACTGAGTGTGAGGTGCAGTAAGTCATGACAAGGAGGGGGTTTAAGAGCGTGCTGAGTCGGGCGCGGTGGCTCAAGCCTGTAATCCCAGCACTTTGGGAGGCCGAGGTGGATGGATCACGAGGTCAAGAGATCGAGACCATCCTGGTCAACATGGTGAAACCCCGTCTCTACTAAA